AAACCCGACACGCCCCTCCAACACCCTAAACCCCTCCAGATCCTCCCCAAAACCCAGAACTACGAGCCTCTGGCCCAGCCATTCATCCCCACTAGCCCCGGAAACCCACATCCCTTGGCGTGGCATGGAACAAACCCCCCCATGGAAAAACCTGGAGGGGGGGGGGAGTAGAGATGTTTTATCTCAGCCCCCATCGGCCCCTAATGAGGCAGGTTTATTTTTAGTGGAGGTGAAAGCCGGAGCCACCAGCTCAAGAGCTTTTTCCACTCACATCTGCATTTGCACAATTTGGGTTTCCTGTCGTGGTTTCGGCGCTTTTCAGACCTGCCCGAATTGTTATTTTCTTCACTCCGGTGAAGAAGCCCCACAGATCCTTCCCTCCCCTGGTATAAATATCCCACCGACATCCCCTCTGTGACTCCCTGCTCATCCAGCCCCTGCCACCCCGATTTCTTGGAATGGGATCCGAGCACCCCCACGGCATTGGGATGCTGGTGGAGGCTCAGGCTGGAGCACGTCATTCCTGGATTTGTGTCTTTCCAGCCCTGGATTGTGCCTTTCCAGCCCCAGCGTGGGATGAGAAGCCATTTTGCAGACCCTGAGTGGGGAAACTGAGGCAGGGATGGGTGTCAGTGCTGGGGACCCCCTACCTGGTCACCCCCAGGGTTGTGTGGCCACGCTGGGGTTAAGCTGGAGAGACGTGTCAGGCAGAAAAGTGGGGAACAAAAGGGTTGTGCCCTCCCTCTTGCTGGGAACCCAGTACATGGGGATGGGCTGAGCCCTGCCCGACTCATCCCAGCTGTGCTGGGGGACGGGGTGGGTCGGGGGGGGACAGCTGGGTGTCCCCCCACTTCCTCTGACACACAGTTTCCATCCGCCCGGAGCAGGTGCCAGGTGAGGGGCAGCGGGGGGGTCAGGGAGGGCCCCCTCATCTCCTCTCCTCGAGCCACATCCCTGCAGGGCTCTGCAGGAAAGGGGGGACGTTTGGGTTTCCCCCCCAGTACATCCCAGTGCTCCTCCAAACCCACGGGAGCTGTGGCTGTGCAATCCAAGGACCCTTGGGAGTGGCCAAGCTGGGGGTTCCCATTCCCAAAGCCCAGCACTGTGACTGTCCCTGCCTCAATTTTCCCACTCAGAGTCTGAAAAGCAGCTTCTCTTGCACTTGCTGGGGATGAAAACCACAATCCAGGGCTGGAATGATGTGGTCCAGCCCAAACCTCCACCAGCTTCTCCATCCTTTGACCCCTCTCCTTGTCCTGTCAGCGGCTGGGGAAGGGAGGCCAGGGGGTCCCAGGGGAACAACCCACAAATCCTGACATTTGGGCACCCCCCATCCCAGCCATCCCCTGTCATGAAACCCCACCACGTGTGCCCACGGCCTCTCCAGGACCATTCCATGGGATGAGGAGGATGCTGGGGTGTGAGGCTGAAGGCCAGAGTGCCTTGTCCCCTGTCCCTGTGCCCAACTCCCTCTGCAGGGCCGGGTGCTGTGGCAGCTGCGGGGCCAGGTGCAGGAAGCCGACCTGCACTCGCTTTCTCTCTGCTTTTGGTTTTTCACTCTCTGGTGACCCCGGGGGGAACTTCACTTTCTGCAAAAACGTCCCTCTGTGTGTCATCTCCTGTGGAGCTGGGGACAAGCCCCATACCCCATACCGAGCTCAGCCCCATGGGGACGTGATGGCACCTTGTGTGCCCCCATCCCTGGAGCTGTGGGGACAGCCAGCACCCGGTGGGGACACAGGGGTGGGAGGTCACGGCACGTGGCACCTGTGCATGCACATATGTGAGTTGCATGTGAGTTGTATGGCCCCGCGCACGTATGTAGGTGTGTGTAGGTGGCCTGTATGTCCCTGAGCAC